AAATAATTACTTTTGGTGGGTCAGAAAAAGCTAATACTGCAGTACTAATGAGTCATGATTTTAATTCCTGGAAGGACTTTTGGCAGGCTTCACTCTGCAAAAACTGTGCCTGCTTGTCCATTAAGCAACGCCACGGCTCAGCTATCTCTATTGCATACACAGTGCCTACAATATTATGTCTTAGAAACTTCATATTATTGGTGTTGGCCAAACCTGTACTGCTTCCACTTCCCCAGGTCTATTAGAATTCCAAGGGAAAAAAATTACATATCCTAAATACTGAACCTGGGATTTAAGCAGCTGCCATTGAAGTAGCTTTATTTACAGCTCAGTAATTTGTAGGCACCTGAATACCTCACCCAGCTATTTAGTTGTTCTTGCAAGAAGTGACTAAACACAATTATGTCATCAAGAAAGACAAGACAAATGGTCCCCCTCCAATCGACAAGGACTAGCCCCAGTAATCTCCAGAATGCACTTGAGGCATTACATAGGCCAAATGGTGTAACACTGCTTTCAAAAAAACCCTTCTGGGTAATAAAAGCTGCTTTTCCTTTGTTCCCTGGATGTATTTCTACCCACATCTAAGTCCAATGCAAAAAAACAGGTGCCTTGTGCTATCTTCTTTTGGTTCCATTCTGTGTAAAATCAGTCACAATCACATCACTTTGCTTTCCGAAGGCCCTTGGTTTCTACCGGTTGGCCACATTCATTACTAAAGCATTATTAGATCATTAAAAAGTGCTTCTGTGGTTGTAACTGTAATGGGAACCTTTGCTTACTATAGCTAAATGGTCTGCAATCTCACTGATAAGTGCTATGCTGTACTGGAAACAAGCAGGGCCTCACATATGCTTTCTGCAGTAATTGAGATCTTGCTGATGGCACAGAGCCATCGGAGGCAGCCAATCTTACATTCTCATGTGAAGTAAATAATAGGAACATGCTTACATTTTATCCCCTAATGAATTTATCAAGCAATTACAAAGAAGGCATGTATTTCAACATGTGGCCAGCCTGGAAAAACATATGCTTTGCCAATAAACCACTACCTTATGTTGAGCGGGGGCAATTGCTGCCCACTCTGTGCATGTTTCCTAGGAAGTAAATCCCACTTGCTCAACAGGATTATTCCAGGTAAATATACATAGGATTATAACCTTTAATGTGTCCCTGTTCAAGGAGACTTAACGTTACTGCCACAAAAAACTAGCTTAAATCCCACTGAGTTCAGTGGAAGAGATTTAAGCATGAGCTTAATTCTGTTATTAAAATCAAAAGGGTACAAAAAGGATATGAGCTATGCAGAACCATTGTATGCGTAGCCATAGGTCATGGTGATACCATGAGCTGGTAGTAAGAGCAATGAACTCCTGGATGAAATCCAGGCAGGGAGTGGGGGCAGTTACCATGGACAGCTCCGTGGTAGCTCCTCTTCGACAGTCACTGGATCCTGCACCCTCTCGGCCTTCACCTAAATAGCCAGGGAGGCCTCTCCAACTAAAGCAGCACACAAGAGGACTGGGAGGCAAGAGTGCCTCCATCATCCATTCAGCTCTGTTTGGAAGGACTTAGGATAGCTCCTTGTCTATAGATTATCAATTGCATAGGACTGGGCAGCATAGGACGTTGCCTTATACCCAGCTAGTGCATTAGTCCATCTGGCTGTAGTCAGCACTGATTGGCAGGGGCTCGCCATGGCTCCAGGCATGCATTTTTCCAAGTCCCATCAGGAGATGCCAGGGATTGGGTTTAGGCCCTTCTGCATACCAATTCTATATTCCATCACTGAGCTGCAGATCAGCTCATAATATCTTTACTTTCAGTGCATTTCTGCAAATGCCTGTTCAGAGATAAAGTCCCCTGAACAGCACGTCTTCTTAAGAAACTGTGTATTGAATTATAGTCTTAATTGATTAATTTAGTTTAGTAAATTGGGTCAGTATTAACCAAATGTGAGTTAAAGGCATATTTATTTGGTTGGGAGCTAAAGAAAGGATGTTGTGATTCTGCTATGTAGTTGTAATGAGGAATAAAAAAAGAAAACTTCCTTCTAATAAAAAGTCTTTCTCCTATGTTGCTCCCCTGCATTCCCTCTGGAGTTACGACCAGTCCCCCCTGCCTGTGCATTCAGGCAGGTGGCCAAGACACAGCTTTTTAACTTGGCTTTGTAAACTGTCATAGTTCCCAAGGCTGCGTTTAACCTTCTGCTCTGTTTCATTTGTGATTGTTGCTTCCTAATTTTTTGATTGATCCTTTCCGAAAGATGGCATAGAAATGTTAAAATAAGACTGAACAGTACAATCTGCTGCATTTCTTTTAATATCTCCAAAAGGTCACATTGTACTGGTGTGGAAGTGCTGTGAAATTACTATAAAAAATAACTGTGGTGTTAGGTCACTTAATGCATCTCCATACAGCCCTTCTTCAAATATAATGTGGTTTATAAAACTAAGATGAAGAACGCAATAGGCAACCACACGTAAGAATCCCTGCGCGGGATCAAACCAAAGGCTTATCTAGTCCAGCTTCCTGTTTCCCACTGTAGCCAATCAGGTGCCTCTGGAAGGCTCACCAGCAGAATAGGAAAGCAACATCCCCCTCGTGCAGCTGCTCCCATCTCCATGCAGAGGCTACTGCTTCTAAAGCAGGAAAAGAAGGATGCAGGGGAAACTCATTTAGCTCACTTTTTAATGTGCAGTTCCTGGACCAATGATGAGCTGATGCATATGCCTCTTTGGCATAGGGAGGAGCAATGGCTGCCAAAATGAACAGCTTGAACAGGATTCAAGAAGTTACCCTAAATCTGCAACCCAAATCTACATTGTTCAGGTTTGGTGATAGAAGCATTGTGTAAGGGATATTTTAAGGAATGAGCAAGAATGAAAGAACAAAAACACCTCAAGCCTTAATACAGAAAACAGAAGGAAGATATGGAACTCTGTCTCTGGAATTTAACTTATCTAGCATCAATTGTTCTTTTAGAGATGACATGATAGACACTAGAACAATGTGACTGGAGTCTTAGTTTTAATTGTTCCCATTTAGTTCAGTTACTTATAATAATAGTTTCAATTGATGAATCATATTTACAACCAAAGTTCTGATGGTTCTGCATGAAAATGTAATATATGCAGCTCATCTGACTTTCAACTGTGGTGTATCAAAGGAGAAAATCTGAAGGTAAATACAAGCCATTTCTAGAAATTTAGCCCCTGACACTTGTGTTTGGTTTTTACAATTCATCCTGTTCCACTTTAGAAGAATGGGAAATTGTTTCATATGCTCGTGATATGTTCAGATGTTTATTTTGAATGAATATATGAGAGATGCATTTCTCAATTTGGCTCAGTAAGCTTCTTCAGCAAAATTCCCATCTGCTGCTGCCATCCTGTGCTGCCACTTTTACAGCCCTGATATTTTTTGTGTGAATGTCATATACCCCAAACTTGGAAGGCCCTTTCCCAATATGAGTACAAGAGTAGGTCACTTCCTTTATATTTCTAGAGTTACTGCATACAGGTTAAAAGGGAATTTCCATTGAAGTCAGAGCCCAAGCATCTGAGGGTGTGGAACAGGGTGCCCACCTAAACACTGCCAAAAAAGAAGACAATCATCACCATAAAAGTGGGTGGCAATTTGCCTATGTTAACATATATGCATAGATGCAAAGTGAGAAATAAGTGTTACAATTTGCACAGAAGTGCAAATGTATATGTATGGATGTAAAGTGAAGAATATGTGTTATTATTTACACAGAAATGCAGTGCCGCTAACCATTGTGTGGAAATCTGTGAGAAGGTGACCTGTCTGGCTACCAGCTCCTTCTGCTGTCCAGCTGGTAATTGTGGATGGACAATAGTTCTCTCAGTTCTTTATCTTTAAAAGAGAAATGGCATACACAGCCCTCCAAACAGACAATGCCTTCAAATAGAGGGAAATCATTTGTGAACCCTTCAAATAGAGAACTGTCCTCCATAAAGAGGCCACCTAGTCACCCTGGTGGAGAGGAGGGAAAGGCCACACTTATTGGAAGCCTGAAGATCCAGCCTTCCTGAACCTAGGTTGCAATCCCATTGTCACAGGGGGAAAAACAGAGGCTAAGTAAATTGTTGATTATGCTCGGAGATTTTATAAAAACTCATTTTCTTGTGTCTGTTGCCAGGCGCTCCTGATGGAACGGAAGTGGTGTTAGAGCAGAAGAAAAAAATGTTCTGAATGGAGAGTGGCTGCCCCAGACCCTTCTTCTGAAGAGAGCTAGCACTTTGAGCAGTAGCTTCAGAGCCAAAACAATTTGTATTTCCAAATCTGACCTACTTTCTACCAACCCCGGAACTCCTTGAATAGGGAGAAGGGAGAGACAATGCATCAGAATAATCTGACACACTGATCTAAGGGATGGTGTGGGGATGATGCAGTTGTTGGCTGGATTTGCAGGCCCAAAATATAGATGAGTAAATGTCTAGTTTACTATGCTTCCCTATCTGACTGTAGTATTGTGAAATGTTGCATCTGAAATACATGAACTAGCACTCATCAAAACAGCAGGTGTTCTGCTGTGGGGCTAGAACAGCTAAGCTCACAAGTGCGGGGGAGATAATTCATGCGTTTTCACTGAACAAAGCCAGAGAAATACAGCTGTAATGTGAATTGGCTATATATAAAATGTTTGCAGCCACACTGGCCCATTAGAGTAAAAGAAAAAAAATCTAAACAGCAATTGGATGTACCTTTATTATGAATGAAGACTAACTCAAAAGCTACAAAATAATCAATGAACTTTGTAGAATTCTTCTTTAGGCACAGCATCATCTGAAATGAAAATAGAAAATGAAGCCCCAGTTTGGGCCTTGACATAATTTCAAAAATGTGGGAAAAGTAATTTCAGAGTAAAAACAAAAATGTTTCTTCCATGACTCATGAGGCAGAATGCAATGGATGGAACTGATTTGTGGCACATGTGTAGGAAGAGGCCCCTGTTACAAGTTTGTGCTGGGCCCTCAAAAATGGTGCTTGGGCCCTCCTTGCAGCGCTATGTTTTCTGGTAGGCCCATAGGGTTATCTGCCAAAGTGGAGCAAGTATTAAGCCGAGAGGCCTTACAAGACATGCGGCTTGACCTCTTCCTGTGATAGAAATAGTGCTGAATGTAGAGTCGGAACTTGTCATGCAGGGAGGCATAGATGAATGGATTGAAGCATGCAGAACTCATTGCAATCACATGGCAGGTCACTTGAATGACATTTATGTATCTCTTGTCTAGGATAGCAAATTCCTCATCTATATCTCTGATCAGATTAACCACCTGAAGAGGAAGCCAGCAGAAAGCAAAACACATGACTGAGATCACAAGGATCCGGAAGGTCCTCTGCTTCTTTCTAGTCCACTTCTCTTGGTTGTGGCTGGCTGCTCCTGGGACGTTTCTCTTCTGGAGGTGATAAGAAATGGCACAGTAGGAGATGGACACGGCAGAAAGTGGGAGCATGTAGGACAGGAGCAGCATGAAGCAGGAGTACAGTTGCCGCTCTGTCTTGCGGTGTTTCCAGAACTCTTCACAGATGATCATGTCGTGGCCGATGCTGTTGAGATCCAGGTAATGAGTGTGGATGGATGTGGGCACTGAGACCACAATGGACAGCAGCCAGATGAAGGCCACAAGGTAGACACAGGACTTGCACCGTATCCGTTTACGGATGGGGTAAGCGACCACAATGTATCGGTCAACTGCAATAGCGGTCAGGGACAGAACGGAAACAAACACCGTGGCCACTTGCATGAGGGTGACGAAGTAACACATGAAGATCCCAAACAGCCACCCGCGGATCTCAAAGGCATACGAGGCTGTCAGCGGGACGCAGAAAATGCACATGATTAGGTCAGCGGCCGCCAGGTTTCCAATGAGGAAATTGGTGGTGCTATGCAACTTTTTGGTGAAGCTGATGAGGAGGAGCAGGAGGAAATTGCCTGTGCAGGCCACAGTCACCAGAATGGCGTACAGAGGAATGAAGAGGGGCTTCAGTTCGAAGAGGAGGTCCAGGCCTGTGAAGGAAGGAGCTGTGCTATTTGAGCAGGAGTCGTTTTGTAGCTGGCAATGCATCACCATCTTGGATGATGCTTATGGAACCTTGCTGGGGGGGTTACGTGTAAAGAAGCAGAACATTAATTAGACAGGAAAAACAGAATGACTGTGGGGCCAGTACACAGGCCATCCACCTGGGAATACCTTTTTCTCCTGGTTGAAAAGATTGAGGGAAAGGACCTTACACATACAGATAAGCATGGTTTGTCACACAAGGCAATTTTGAGCTGTATATAAATACATTTTGTTCTTACTTTCAAAGCTCTGAGAACCATTAACTTCATTTTCTATCACCCTAAGAATCTCCATCTCCATTTCAAGTGCCTACCTTGCCTGGTCCCTCCAGATGATTTGGGCTTCAACTCCACATGGGGGTTGTGATCTAAAACTTCTGCGGGGGCGGGGGTGGCACTGGGTTGACTGCTTTGTAAGAGGTCTCTTGCATCACCTTGCCAGGCCACATTCCATTCCACCTCTTCAAACTCTATTTTTCTCCCTTCCTGATTCTATTTTTTCCATAAACCACTTTTCTCCTGTCTAGCCTTTTAGGAGTTTCTTTCTACAATGCTATCTGTTTCTTTCCCAGAGCTTCCTTTCTGCCCAGCTAATTCTACATATTCTACATCGGAAATCAATTGTTCTGCATTTTGCATTTGAACAATGTTGGGAAATGGCAGGATTACTTTCTTGATTGGAAATCATAATGTGAGCTCCTTTAGCATCTTATTCCTAAGGCCATAAGTCATTTTATCCTCACAATAACCTGGGGGAATGGCTGAGCAATAATGGAACAAATGCCCCTTCCTTCCTTCCTTCCTCGAACATTTTCAGCACTTATCTTTATATCATCCCCACTCCACTCCCATGATTTTTATTTTCCTTTTGCCATTCAGGACATGAATCTAATTTTCTGTGTGCTGTGTGCTTAGTGTGGCTATTTAACAATTGTGCATATTTTGTAATTGGGAGCAGGGAAACTAGCACACACACACTTGGTACCAATGACATTTGGCAATGTCTTCAGTCAGTGAGTGAAGTAGACCAGAGGTGAGCAAAGTGTGACCCTCCAGTATTTGTGTGACCCTACGACTCCTCTCTTCACTGCTGACCATTTACCATGCTAACTGGGCCTCACCTGGAGGCAACAGGTTTTCAGTCCTCTTGGATATCAGCAGAATTCTGACTGAAAAGAACTTTTCAGTGGTGGATCCCTTGGTGCTGATGGAATTTAGGTACCAGGGAGATGATGTTTTTCTTTCCCCAGGCTTTTCAATGAATGGCTATTCCTCCTGGATTTTTGTCCTAATTTTATAAAACAGTTGAGTGGAGATACCATTACTTAGGGCTCTTTTCTTTTTTATACATATCTGTATTGTTGTATAGTTTACATTTTTATCATTGCTTCTGTACTCTTTAGCCAACCTGGGAATTTTGGAGTTGAAGGATACAAATTCACTAAATAAATTTTAAAAATAAATAAGCATACACAAGTTTTGGGATGTTGGTGAAGCACTAATTCACCTGCACTTCCATTTTCTTCATGGATTCTGTATCATGTTCAGATGTCCCCTGCTCACTTCTCAAAGTCCTATGACAAAAGTCCTTGCCCTTACTTTTAAAAACACTTGATAACATTACCCAGTTCACCACTCTTTTGTCCCATTTCTTGTTCTCTGAAGCTGCTACTCCATAGACCTGGAAGTTCCTTCTCAACAAAATGGGGCCATCTCCCCCTCTCAGGTCCAACCCTTCCTCAAAACTCACCTGTACCATGAAGCCTTTGGCTTTACCCCTTAGTCATCATCTAAGTTTCCATTGTCCATGCTCACCTGTGTAAACATAAATAGAAGTAGACATCAATAATTTCAAGAGGAAGGATTTTTTTCCCAACATGCCACCTTCCATTTTCAGTTAATGTTAGCAGCTGTTATACAATAAACCTTGTAATACAATATGTATAATAAAACCTGCACATCATCTTCATCCCTTTTAAGCTTTTAACTGTGCATGTCTCATCTATCCAGGTTATACAGATCAGCGTGGGGCACAGGTGCATAGACCTAATAGCATAATGTAAGAGTTGGGAAAGGACCTTGGAAGTCATCTGATCCAACCCCCTGTGCCAAACAGGAATCTTGTAAATACAGTATCCCTGGCAGCTGGCCATCCAATTTCTGCTTAAATATTGTCTTCAGAGGAGATCGGACCCTCTCCTGGAGCAAACAGCTCTTGCAGCTGGAAACTGCTCCTTATGTTTGGCTGAATTCTCCTTCCTGGCAACTTCCATCTGTTGGTTCTAGTCAAGCCCCCTGGAGTAACAGAAAGCACGCTCATTTATTCCCTTGGGATTTAGGGTGTAATCCTGTGCAGGTTCAGCTCCCGGAACCAGAAAAAAGGCTTGCAGGTCCCAGCTTGACCCTAGTGAACTAGATTACTTGGACTTCCCTTTTCTCTTGGAGCAGAAGTGGTTTCTTCATATGTTGCCATCTCAGCACAGAGCTCCAGTGCACTGGAGGCGCGTCATGCTGGGTAGGAATATGCTGTGCAGGCTTAGCATTTGTGCACTGACCAGCTAAGTCCAGAGAAGCCACATTATAAACAGGAATATCAGGTGTCCCCTTGCTTTAATTGTTCATAAAAGTTGCTTGCATTTTATTTTATTTTATTTTATATCGTTAATCCTCGCTCTTCTATCAGAGGAATTAGCCTAACAAACAAAAGTAAAAATGTACACATTCCTTCGCATTTTTTGGGTGTTGAATACTGATGCAACCACAACTGTATGCAGCCTTTCCCAAGCTTGGATCCTCAGTTGTTGTTGGACTCTAAGCTCAGTAATTCCTGACCATCAGCCATGCTAGGAGGGGCAGATGGGAGTTGTCATGCAAGAACACTGAGGGCCCAAGCTTGAGGAAAACTGGTATAAGGTGTTTTAGGGGGTATTAAGGAAGCATTCTGGGGGGAAAGTGTGCGTGTTTTCATGGGCACAGGATGATGAGAAGGAGGGGCATGAATACATCCATGTGTTCAGGTGCACATGTGTGATGCTACATGGGGTGCCTGTGTGTGTGAAGGTGGAATGAAAGGAGGACAGCTGGCTGGTGTGTGCGAGGGGGCGGTGAGAAGGCGTGAGGCATGCCTGTGGCTGGCGACCCGGAGCAGAGAGAGAAAGAGAATGTGTTGGGAGGCAGAGGGTGGGCAGAGAGGAAGAGTTTGCCTTCTGTGAAATAGTTTCTGCTGGTGCTTAAACTGTGGGTTCAAAGGAACTGTTTGGTCTGTTGGGACTCAGACCCCACCTTTGCCACCTGTTCGGCTTTACCTTGATCACATTAGTGGCCTCTTTGCCTCAACTTGCCTTCTGTGAAGTGGTTTTCCGCTGGAGAAAAAAATGGATTCAGAGGAGTGGGTTTTTGTTGTTGAGGGGATCAGAACCCCCCCCCCCCCCCAGAAACACTGCTTGCACTCAGGGTCTTGATCTTGTCACTTGGCTTGCTGCTTCAGAGATTGCCTGTCTATGAAAAGGGTTTTCTGATGGAGCAGAAACCTTTGGGTTCAGTGGCCTTGCCATGCAAAGGCTACCCCCGACATATTGCCCAGGCTCTGCTGATTGCCCATGGTTCTGCATATTCCCTCGGGCTCTGCCCACCATTAGCTGCCCTGCCCTCTGCTGCCCTGCCCCTGCCACTGTGGGCTCCAGCTGCCCCAGGGGTCAACCATGCCTCAGAGGACTTGGTTTCCACATGCGTCATCATCCTGGTCACCCTCTTCTGGACACACTTCAGTTTACTTATTTATTTATTTTATTAAAACATTTCTATGCCGCCCCTTGCCGAAGCCTCGGGGCGGCTCACAACACAAAATAAAATGCAATAAAATACAAAAATAACAATATAAAATTAGCAGTATAAAATAAATAACAATATAAAAGAAGTTGGTCCACGTGCTTTTAAAATGGAATGCCCAGATCTGGCCCCACCAGACAAAGCCTGGCCAGTGCAGGAGAAAGCAGGATGAATATTCGGTGTGGTCTGCACACGATGCTTCTGTTGATGGAGCCTCATGAAAGCACAGAAAGCAGACGGCAAGAAGCCATCTGCTCTGGCCTTTGCATGTGGCATTTCAAAGGAATGATGCTGCAAATGGGCTCTGGCAATGCTCGGTCTGATGGCTAGTCCAGAAGGTGAGACTTCCCTGAGAAGGGACATTGTAGAGTTGAAAAAAGTGCAGAGAAGAGCAACAAAAATGATTGAGCAGCCCCCTGTGAACAGCTCAGACGGTTTCTCTTGGAAAAAAGGCAAATCGGGGAGACATGATAGAGGTGTTCGAAATTATTCATGCTGCGGAGAAAGAGGAAATGGAAACATTTTTCTCCTTCTCCCATAATACGAGAACCCAGGGGCCACCCCATGAAGATGATCCAGGACAGAAAAAAGTAAATACTTCCTCACAAAGTGCATAGTTAAACTATGGAATACCCTGTGATTGCCACCAATTTGAATGGATTTAAAGGGGACTGGACAAATTAATGGGGCCAAAGGCTAGAATGGCACTGTCTTGATGGCTATATGCGACTTATGGTACCAGAGGGAGGATGCTAATGCACACACATTGCTGGGGAACTTGCGCCAGGGGTTTGTTGTACTCAGACCCTGCCTGAGAGATCCTGGGGGCAGCTGGTTTGCCACCGCATGAACAAAATGCTGGGCTGGATGGACCAATGGACTGATCCAGCAGGGCTTATGTGCTTACCTACAGCCAGGATTTCAGATTGTACACGTACTCTCCCTTTCTCGGGTTTACATCAACTTTACGCTGCAGCTGCCTCCCCGCACTTTTTAAAAAAATATTTATTTAAGTAGGTTTTTATATCCTTTTCAGGGTGCTCAAAATGGCTGTTTGGATGGGCCCGGGGATTAAGTTTGCTTAAAGTTTGCTATTCACTAGCAACTATTTGCTAGTAAATTATTTTTTTGCTTGTTTTATTTTCTTTCTCCGCGGAGTGACCATTATTTTTTTGACACTGC